GATAAGGTAAAATATGATATAGAATGACTTGTTGGCTTTTAAATGGTCAGTTGATAACTGGCTACTGAAAGGTAACAACGGAGCAATAAGGAGCGCAATTATTGAGCATATACTCAACACTGGTCATTCGATTTGCAAGGAGAAGTCGTTCAAAGTCATCTATAAAGTCAAAAGAAACCTTCCAAAATCGACAAGCTTCCGCATACTTTGTATTGCCGAAGCCTTAGCGATTTGGATAGAAAAGCCTGATTTATGCACACAGAAGAAGCTTCTCCACCCCCTGCTACTACCGTGGGTTTAATTTCAAGTTTATCTGTCATCAACATTTTGTTATCAAAATTTTTTTGCAATTTTTGTATAATAATTTTTAGTAACTAACCCATTCAATCTTTTCACCTATTATCTAGTTTATTTTCATAATTGTCTTCATACTCCTTCACTAACATTTAATCTTTCTAAACATGTCTATATTACGTAACCCTACTCACATCTTAACAATCTTCACCCCATTTAGTTACAGCTTTGATTATTAATCGCACATTTTAATTTCTTAATTATTTTGATGATGTAATCAACAACCCACACCAACTGTTATTTTGATTCTGATTTTGACAAACCTAATGTACATACACACACAAAATTAATTGTATATATTTGCGACTGTACAGCTAAGTGAATAAATTCGCCGAAAAGAGACTCTTCGCTGAACTAATTTGTTCTTATTTCAATTTTGGGAGTGCAAAAGCATCTAGATTAAAGGAAGAAATCTATCGTTACTCGACAATCTACCATTTAAACAGTTTTAGGCGAAATTTTGCAAACCGGAATTACTCAAATCATGGTATGTGATCTGCTCGATGCTACAAATATCACTCAAGAGAGCAAGCATAGATGTATCACTCTGTCTACGACTGATTAGATAATATGAGTCGTTGCATATCACTCACATCAATGAGTGGTGCATGCCAGCCAAACACTAAATGGCCGTTTCGTTAACCCAAGTAGCTAATAAGAATTCGTGTGTTTTGAACCGTGATTCGGCTCTCTGAGATGATCCAAATTGACCGAAATGGCAGTACGATGTTTGGATCGCTCCGATCTGGTTAGCAGAGACTACTGGTTCATTCCGGTGGTACCCAATTATTCATATCAATTAGTTACTAGCATATAGAGCCAAAAAACATGAAATTATTTAACTTTGCTTTTACAAAGATTCTATGAGTATTGTAAAAAGTGAAAACTACTTCAGTGTATGCGTAAAATTACTGCTACGTTCTACTTCTTCAGTACCCAAAGGTCTTCTCAGTATATCTTCAACCCATCTCCATTTCCTTCCGCATAAATGCCCACCGATAGGTTCTTGTTTTGATGCCTACTAGAGATATTTGTCGCCTAGCATTTCCGGCCAACTATCTCATCTTCAGTGTCCAGACAGCGAAGGTAGCTGCTGGAAATGTGTTTAATGACGTGAACACCAAGTCCCTGAACCATATAAAAATACTTACTGACTTGACATTAGTGCCTAAAATTCAGATATTGTTTCTTTCGCCAATTACGTCTTGTAGATCTCCACATTGATTTCAAAGTAATAAAGGCCTGTCTTGCTTTCCCGATCTGATCCGATTCCGGCTTTGACATTCTTATCCCTGACACTGCCTGTGGTTGAAACGATGCTGCCCGAATCGATTAAGAAAGGGAGACGACTTCTTTTAGATTTTTCCTGTTGATTTTACTTGATGCTGGGCATACCGATTATTTTTTATCACCTTTGTCTTCTCTGTGTTACCCTGAAATCCAGTCTTTGATGCCTCTTCTGCCAACTTGTTGTTTTTCGTCAGTATATCTTCCAGTTTGTGTGACACGAGACATAAATCATCTCCAAAGTTCATATCTTCTAGAGTCTTTACTGTTGATCTAGGGGAGGTTTTCTTTCTAAAGAGACTTATTGCCTGACTATACGATATGCAGTGGATTACAGAGCCTTTTTAACACTTACATTGATAGATTTCGTTTTGCTTACTAAATTGAGAGGTGGAATTAGAACCTAAGGTATCATTTTTCATAAGTACATTTATTAGATTTTGAAAGAAACTGTAATCCATTCCTACTTCAGTGCATGAAGAGCTTTCGCGTATTTAATTTCGTCAAACTGGAAGTCTTTCTCTTTTATACTCGAAGCCGATTAACTCAAACATTAAGCTCTAGGTTACGAAACACAAACTGAATGAAGTCATTAAATGAAAAAAAGAATATCGGTGTAAATATTACTAAGTGATGAATAGTATTCATGCATTCTTAAAAGTTCGTCACAGTTTTTGGATATGTTTGACAGATAAATAAAACAACTGCCAACTGCTGGCCTGCAGAGATCTGATTGGCTGCAAGGATTATGCAACCTCTAGGGTTTGAACCCAGGAGCTTTCAGTTACAAGCCAGGCTCGTAGATCATTCAGCTGTTGGAAACCGACCCATTGGCCCATAAAATCCAACTTCTGCTAATTCGTGATATATATAGCGCAACCACTAGTCACTATCATAGGCAAGTAATTGTTTTGCCACCCGTTTTGGTGGACCTCGCAAGTTGCGCCTCCTCACTAGAACTCTAGGTAACATTCTGTATAGAGCCAGTTGCTACTAAGCATCAGATTAACTATCAGTTGTTGGTCTTCTAGGGTTTGATCATTTGGAATAAAAAGAAACCTAATATATGTCAAATCTTATATAATAAAATCCATAACTTTGACGTCACAGCAAACTAGTGCTACGTAATTCAACTCTTTGAAAACTTTTTTCTACTACTAGGACAGATGAATGAACAGACATCTATCTGATCCAACACATTTCTCACTATATGCTGGAGGAAAGACGTTTCTAATTACAGAAATTAAGCTATCCAAAACTTTTAATATCACTAGTTGGTATACTTAGTAGCCTAACTATGATGCTACTTGACGGATTGATGTTGACTGACAATGGAATCCAGGATGTGCATTTCATCCTATCTTGAACTCGTCAGTCGGTGTTTAAGACGACCGATTCTGTATTCGAGTCCCAGTCAGTGGGGATGTAGACAGATCTAGTCGAAGAGTCCACAGCTGGACGAAATATGTGTCCTACATTCTGTTCTATGTTTATCTGAAGGTATTGTTGAAGTGTTCATATTGTGCGCCCAAATTTCATTAGATACCAAGTAGTTCGGTCTTATGTAAATCCATCTGGACGCCACATCCAGAATAACCTCTGCAAATTAGTATTCTAAAGCTTATTCCCCACTTATAGTCATATTTACATGTATACAGAATCTTGTAAAGGATACTTTGAATGTATACTACATTTAGTAATCATGTAATTATAATAAAAACTAGAAGGAATAACAACTTCTCTCCCCTCACCTTTATTTACACAACTTCCACACTGATAACTATTACTGAAATATGAAATTTATGCTGCCTACAGTATTACGCTCTGATTTATGAAATTGCCTTTTTGTTTATTTATCTATTTCTGAAAGCTTACAGTTACTGTGCTGTATGCAAGTTGATTCTTGTATTTACGAATTCCACATTTGTGTATGTACGTATATACATATATACATATTCATGAATAAACAATGTTTACGAATATCTAGATGTATACACTACTAATACATTTTCGTTAGTAATATGTATATGTATATACATATACTGGCGGCTAAACTAAAGCCAAATTTATTCAATTTATGCAATATACATGTAAAGTAGATATGATTATTAATAAATAAACCTAATTGTTTATTATCAATAGTACTAATTAGTAGATAAAGTAGAATTTATAATCTCTCCTTAACACTTAGCATTCGTTGTATTGCTCCTTCTTCGTTAGCCTACACTCTTCCTTTCTGCAGTCATAAATAGTCATAATGAAACATATTGGAGACTAATAGCACAGGTAATAGTGCTGGACGGCTTCTCTCTGTAAGTGTAATCCTTTGATGTACCATTAAGGTGGTGTTACACTGTTTGTACTGATAGTAATAATAGCAGTAATATCAATAATGACAATCTAACAGCAAACAGGCTGTTCCACCCGAACCCTCACCCACCGTGCTTTGGCTTAGAAGAAAACATTCACTACCTGAAAGCATTTCTTTTACATAAATCGAATTAATGCATTTGTATATACGAATTATACAAATTAACCAAAGTAGTTTTCCTACGCATAAAGTTTATTTCCCTTTGCTGTAGTAATTCTTTATATATCAGAATACAGATTACCTACTTATTTTGTTTATTTACTTATAGATGTTAGCAACAAACAAATTGTTTATGCTTATTCGTTTATTTTTGCGCAAATCACATTGGATGTGTGTTGTGATACTGTTTTGTTGGAGTAACATGTATACGGCTACAAAGAGTTTTGTTGTCTTAAGAGTGTGTAATACAATAAAACAGATAAATGGAATTGTTGGAAGTTTTATATATAAGCATAAGAGTTTATGTTTCCAAGTTGATAATGATGAACACAAATCAAAGTCTTTCTTACTGAACATGTACATCAAGTTTCATTTTGGCGCCAGAATATAATTGTTTCGTCTTTCGCTTTTTGTTTGTGTAATAAAATGAGTTTCACTACTTTTATTATAGTATCCACCCCCCGCCGTCAGAATATTTTGTCACTTACTTATATCTACTTCTAGTTGACCAATCAGAAGACAGTAAATGAAATTGATTATCCGAATAAACGAATAACTGTTCTACTTGCATTCTGATTGGTCGTTTGAAGTCAGAAGTTAAATCATGGTAAAAAACGCAGCGTGGGAGGGAGGGGGGAAATCCAACGGAATAAACAAATGACACTGGTAAGGAAAGTTTTGCGAGATAGTGAAACTTTGCAGGCAGATAACGAAAGTTTTCACTTCTGCATTAGTTTACAACAAAATATATCCCTCCGGTTATCTATTTGTTTGCTTGCTTGCACTTGTGTGTTTGTGTCTGTACACACATATATCTTGTTAAGCAACAAATGGTACGGTCAATAAACTTGTTGTTATTCTTAGTCTTCATATTTTTTTCTTCACTATCTCCGGTTTTTTCTCCTTTCCTACCAAATGGATCCACGAGGTGAAATCAACCTATAGAGAAGAAAACAGAATACATATATAACGATTATTTGCCTACACCTTGATCACAGGGGAAGAGGGTACAATATGGTTAGTTAACAGTCTGAAGTGCATTATACTTTGCATTTATATGCATACGTGCATGTATGCATGCATGGGTGCGTGCGTGTGTGTGTGTGAAGGAGAAAGAGGTAGAAAGGTGGACAATATTTCTGACTCATTTGTATCTACGGTGTGTTTACTAATTATCGGATTGAAAAGAGTATTATATTTCACATCAGTTATTGTTTCCATTATAGCCACTACAATATAATTATCATTATAATCATTATTAGCTCATAAAATCACCTATCTAATTACAATTAACGTCATCATAAAACTGTTTATTATTATCATAACTATACTGATAGCTAAAGTATAAGTGTAACTCAAAACTGTTAACCAATAATAACGAAGCAATTTCTTACTTTGATTTGTACTCACTCGTTTTCAGTGGAATAATAATCAATAAAGAAAAAAAAAGAAGGCAATCATTTGTTCACGTGACGGAGATTTCAATAAAGAAGCTTGTATGTACCACAGGTAACGAATTGCCAAAGCAGAGATTCCCCATATCTGGTATACAATCAATAAACCTGAATAACTCATAGCCTAATGCCTTTAATGATCACTATTCGTATATGTTGAGGACTGTAAATTCAACTGTTGTCTGCTGAATCATTGTTTTGTATATTCATCAATATTTAAACAAATTCTCAAGCATGTTTCCAGTCGACAATCGTCTTAGTTTCAACTCAGCATTTGATAATTTATTTCCACGTTCCCTAGGTTCTTGTATCCCGAATTCCTCTCAGACAGATGCATTTCGATCTGAATGGAGTAATAATTTTCATCATCAGCATACACGTTCTGCAACATCTATTCCCACAACTACTGCCAATGCCACGAACAGTAACAATCCGGAGAATAACTTCACTGGTAGTAAACATCATCAACAACAACAACAACAATCGAGTACGCATGCATATATAAATAATCAATTAGCTGTACGCCACCAACACTTATTGCCTACATCGAATGATTTTATGCACACCAGCCTGTCAACATCATCATCGTCATCATCGCCGAGAGCGAATGCATTAGCTGCAGCCTTTCTGTCCAACTCTTTTTCTGATAGTCTTCAGGCAAATTCACAGAATTATCAAAATCCGAATGGATTTCCAAATTGTTTTACACCGTCATCAGTATCATCGCTGATGAACAGTGCTAATAATAATGACGATAACAATAATAATGGTGAAAATATGAAAATAAGTAGTATCAGAGCACGTTCTGAATTTAATCACTTCGATTTAGGTTTGAATGCTTCACGTCCAATGGATTTGTTGTCAAACTGTTCTACACACCTTCCTATATCTGGAGTAAATAGTAGTAGTAGTAATAATAATAATAACAATAATAGTACAGTTATACATAATAGTAATAACAATATTGATTCAGGAAATTTACCACATGACAGTATACATTCCTTTGCGCATAACAGTAATAATACACAATTACATTATAATAGGTCTGTACAACCAAATCAAACAAGTGATGTAGGCGCATTTCATCCTCTAGTATCAAGTTATTCATCAATTAACCTGTTAAATTCATCAATAAGATATCCATCGTTTGGACAGAATACTTCTGATTTAATGAACTCTGAAAATCAACGTATAGATATGTTGAACCCCTTTTTAGATTTTCGAAATTCTACTGCTGCAACATCAAACGCTAACTCTAATGCTTTCTCTAATCCAGTCTGTAATCAACATCCTCATCACCCTCATCATCAACAACAGACAGTCAGTGAGAATTTGAAGTCGACTTACAGACATTTTACGAATACTACAGCGGCTGCAATGGCTGCAGCAGCAGTTGAAGCCGCTTCTAATGTCACCAGTAGTATGAATAACATCAGCAACAACAACAACAACTCCAGTATGATGAATATGACATCGCCTGAAATGATTCGAACTATGGGACAGTCAATGGTGGCTACATCATCGAGTAATCATAATAATAATAACAGTAACAATACAGCTGTAGCGGTAGCAGCTATTGCTGCAGCTGCGGCTGCCACAAACTACATGGTCGCTAATACAGGAATGTCGAATTTCGGTGTGTCGACCAATTTGAATTTAAGTGGGCAAAGTAGAGAATCAGGTTTAGATTGTAGTGATATAACGTCGTCACCATCTTCAACACCCTGTGGAAGATTGAATAAAAGTAATAACAATAATAATAACAATAGTCAAATGGAGACTAATGGAAGTGTTGGAAACCATGGAAATAATGGCTCTGGTAATAGTGCTAGTAGTAACAATAATAACAGCAATGCTAGATCTTCATTATCTCCAACACATATATGGCCATGGATGACTGTTGTGGGTAAGTTATACATACTTTATGATTGATTTACTAACCGAACTTGTATTGTTGATTTGATTCCATCTCTAAGCATGTCGTTTGATATTTTATGCTTTAAGTTTGTGAGTAGTAGAATTTTCAAGTGCTCACTAGTAATGACTGACTACAGGATGAAGCTGCCTGAAGTTCTAGTGAGGATTGTTAACCAGCGTGATCGACCAAGTTGACTGTTAGGATAGACACTCACCGATGACACTGACTAACAGTCACGCTATGCATCGTGAACTGTCAGAAGTTAGAATTTATGGGTCATTAGACTCGCTCCCGGTGACTGAATGATATACGAGTTCATCGTATAACTTGAAGGTCCTGGTAGTGGAGAGATGGGTGTGTACACTACGCAGTCCCATACCAGCACGAAACAGATAATTACTCAGTATTCCTTGGTTTCCAATGGTTCTCTAACTGCTGTCAGTTTGTGATAGAAACTGGAGTAGTAGAGTTGTTTTAAGAAGCATAAACAACACAAAATGGTCCAATATTTTTTTTTTAAGACTTGAGAAAGCGTTGTGATATCTGATCCCTTAACTTGGTGCACAAATAATTGGCATGACAAATCGTGATATTGAATTGATTACATAATACACACTAGGGATATCGACCGTTTATTAAGTACGCACTTGACTAAATTCACTCGAATTCTATCATTCAGTTATTCTTGAAGAAAAATTGCATTTTATATTTCTCTGTGTTATGAAAAAGAAACTGAAGTTATTTTTTAAAAGAATTAAGTGAATATTAAACAGTATTCATGAATTTTTGATCACGTAATTAAGTATTCAATAGTAGTTTTGGTTTCTGGTGTTTTTATTAGAATGCATTATTCATGTATTTCATGAACACATATGTGTGTCAAGTATTGGTTTGTTGGGATTTGATTGATTGGTTACAGGATTTCATCATGAGATCAGATCGGTTGGAGAACCATTGGAAAACCTTCAGGGAGTAGTGGACAACTGTTTCATCCTACTTTGGAACTCTTTATCAGTACTCATCCATCGCCAGGGTTTGAACCCATGAGCTCCTGGTTACAAGGCAAGCTCGTAGGCCATTGGGTATTTATGTGTGTATTATTATCCATTATTAAAACACAAGCTTGGTACATTATGGGTACCACGCGAAATCTCATAGCTTGTGTGAGGCCCATATCGAAGCGGATGGTTGTCTTATGAGGCCATCTCCCAGGAATCTGACTAGAATTCTGATCAATAGGTTAGTGGAGCGGCGTCAGGAGCTGCGTCTCCATGATTTTCAGTGACCAAAACAGGTTCACAGACCATTCAATCTGTTCGGATTCTGAAGCCCATAAACGCCCGAAGGTTTGGAATAATCCGAGTTTTCTAGTTGCTGTAGATAGACTTGCATGTCCACTAGTCCGGTTGTAATCGTCAGACTTCTTTCACTTTTGTAAGGAATACCCACACAACGTAAAGATATAGTGAATAAGACTTGCCTGGTAGATGCCATGAACGTGTAGCCATATGAGAACGCCTCGAAAAAAAAGATCAAAATCTATCTACTCTTGGCCATACCAGGTCGTTTATGACAGTAACATATATATGACTTGAAAATTTTGGGAATTCAACTTAATTTGAACAAAGAGGTGAATATGAGTCCTCCTAACACTATGGGAGTACCATGTTAGTGTATACTTACTTACTTACTCCACCTTGCCCATTAGCTAGAAAAGGAAAGTGTGAATAAGGAAGTTGAAACAAAAGTTAAGGTTGTTGTATAGTTTGAAGAAGGATTGCTTATTCTCATTTAAGCTCTTTCCAAACTTTTTTTTGTACTACTGAGAATGCATAACTAGTCATTCATCATTTTCACAGTGACTGCCACAAGTCACATCTTCTTGTTCAATAGTTTGGTTGTTCATTTTACTTACTATGTATATTTAGTACTGTAGATAACAGACTTTTATAATCCCAAATACCAACGTGTAACAGAGCTAATGTGTACAATTTTAGATACTTTGCTTCAAAATATAATTTAAACCACTAAAATATTAAAATGGGAATCTTTTAGTACTCAAATATTACATTTCTTATGTAATAATGCATAGGTACTGCCCAGGTTGTAAATTGTCTTACAGTTTTATCGCTTTTTCAGCTTGAGGTTTATTGTGACATGTGTTTCTACATCACTCAGGATATTGTTATCATTGGTTTTTCAATAAGGATAACTAATGCAACAGACTAAGTTTACTACTTAAGTAATTACAGTAGTATGCAGCCGTAACAAACCATTTCATGAAAATCTGTATCGCTACTGGATATGAAATAAGCGGATATCTTAGTTTAGCTTGTAGATCACCGGATTGTTGAGTATGATGGCCACTGATTCAAATCATGACAGAGATGCAGACTTTCACATCGCATTACATCAACAGTAGTCTACTTGTTCGAAGCTATCCCAAATAGCTCCACTGTCTGTCATCTACTGTCATTTTGTTCAGTCCGTTGTAAAGTTTGATATTCATCAAACTTATTTGTTTGTCAATTATTAACACTTCGAATAATCACTCACGATGTGCTAACCTCTATAACCTGAGATATCCATCGAAGTACATCAGTCTATCCAGGTTTTTTCTCGTTGGGCATCGGTGACTCAGTGGTAGAATGCCTGCCAACCGCGCATGTGGTTGAGACTTCATTCCCATCCCACACACCCATAAACCCTGTCTAATTTACCAGCCAACAGTAAGCCCAGGAAAGTGAGAAATTCGGGTATGAGGTTAGCAAACCCACCACTGCTACTGGAACTTAAGAGCTTGAGGTCCTATTATTCCACTCAGGCTGCAAGGAAGGAAAAAAGACATGGGATACAGTTTCAATTCTTTTCATGGATATTTATTAACTGTCTCATTATCCATATTGACAGTCTTTTACTTCTTAAGCGCAAAATTACCTGTTGTGTACCGCGAAATAATAAGGAATGAGCTCATATTACGTCAATGAAAACTCTACACTTCTCTGTATGAGACTACGTTGTATTGGGTGGTTCAGCCAAAGAATGCTCGCCGGCCACCAGTGTGGTCCGGATTCATTTACCGACCGATTCACTCATAGACTTTACTTAGCCAAGATTATCCGCAGAATAGAGAGAAGGTTGGAAGTAAGGTTAGTAATTCCACCTCGTGGAAATAGCATCAGCGCTACTGAGACTTTAACACTTAAGGCTTGAAGCCCCACTTTTCAGTGGGAATGTAAAGCAATGAAAAAACAACAATATAAGATTGAACAGAAACTGGAAGACTTTATAGATTTGTGTCATTTTATTATTCTGAAATCTTGTTGACTTCCCCCAGCCTAAATTCCTTATGAATACAAACAGTTAGGTTACTGTGTATGCTTGTCAACCTATATTTGCCTTACTTATACACCTAATCAGAGGTTCTGCTACGTTGGTCAAAGTTAAATATTTAACACCTCGAAATGATCATCATTTGACAGATGAATTTCGTAGCTATAAAGCAGAGTGACACACCCTTTCTAGCTGTTGGTTTCATCATAACTAGTCGCTATAATACAACGGTACGATAAAAGTGACCATTGCTTCTAGTGTGACGGTTAATCTCTTCAGACTGTTACACAACCAAAGGAGTAACACTGCTTTAAAAAATTGAAAGACAAACCTCAGTGAACCAAAAAAATAATTAAGGCAGTGATCAATGAAAAATAGAAATAAACTATCTTCCAGAAACACCATAAAGTGCACTAAAATGTTGTAGTAAGGGTAATCCCTTGCAGAGCATCATTCGTTGTATTTATTTTATGAGGGCAAATAAGACCACAGTGCTTGAATTTTTTTGCCACTCTCCAAAATCTTTGACCACTGTTTGATCCATGATCGATAATTTCAGATATCTGTTTTACCCCCGAATTTTACTTACCAGTGAGTTATAGCACCCATGTACCTATAGCCTAAAGGCAAGTAAAGAAAAAGTACTTCAATGACACTGCGATCTCAAATTAACAATTCGTCATGTACACAGTTCGAGGGGTTAAATTTTTAAGATCACAGTATGTGATCTGCTTGATACCATAAGTGGTAATCATGAAACCAAGCGAATTTGCAAAGAATTATATACTACTGATTGATTGAGATGAGTAGTTGCATGCCACTAATTCAACTCTTTATGTTTTTCCATTATTAATCAACAAAAAGTAACTTTTACAGCTTAACCAACTATTATGGTTGGGTTCCTATGCTAAAATATCCTAATGATACTATTGATTAAGGCTTAGAAACAAATCCATCTGTTTCATCATTGAAGTAACTTCAAGGTGTTTTAGATGACCCATGCAACTATTACAAAGTTTTCCTGTAGGAATTGGTACATATGAATAAATGCATCTCAAGAACGATCTCTAAAACCTCACTTATTATTATTATTGTTACTGTTAGTGTAGACACGAAGCAGTTCTTTAATCAAACAGGTCATATCACTGATGAGCTTGGCTCTAAATGAGTTAGACGACTGTCGGGTGTTTAGATCACCTCGATCTGGCTAGCAAGCACTGGTGGTTGATATGACTGATATACAGCTACTCATATGAATTAGTCAGTAGTACGTAGCTACAGTATAGTCATTTGAATCTATTTTTTAGTAAATCTTATCACAATATATATCATGGACCAATGCATTGGGTCCCAGTGGCTTAATGGTCTACGAGCTCGCCTTGTAGATGGATGGTCCGGGATCCGAACCCGGTAGGCGCATACTGATGAAGAGCCCCAAACTAGGACGAAACAGCTGTCCGATACTCCATTGCAGGTCTTCTAATGGTTCTCTAACAGATGTCAGCTCGTGATGAAATCCTGTAACCAGTCAATCAAATCCCTACAAACCAATACTTGAATAGAAATTTTATAATGGACTCAAAGAGATTTTTGTGCGACAATACTGAAACCTGAATTTTGTTTGCTTTTGATTATGAACTTCAAAAGAGGTTGAA